TCTAGAAACATTTTACCTTCTGCAATCTGAGTGGTAATGCTCTATCTTAGGAATCCCAACAATTTTTGGAGAATCTACTGCGCCAGCATCTAACGACATTGGTAAATTAGATGGTTGAAACACACTCAAACCCATACGCGAAAAGCCCGAAGACCTTCGTGCATAGTGGATATGAGGAAACGAATCGAATGCAAGAATTGCTGTAATTTGCACAGTAGATGTGATTACGAGTCGTTTTAATTAAAAATTTATTAATAATTATCTATCTCAGACACCTAACTTTTCAGGACATTTCCATTTAGAAAATGAAGCAAATGTTAAGGGAAGAAATATGGATTGCTTTAAAGGAAAACAGAACACTTACGTATAAGGCAGAAAAAAAAAAGAAAAGTGCGAGAATTAGATATCAAAACGAGGGGAAAGTACGATCAGAGCTTTCTTGTTTGTAATCGAGTAGAAGTGTTTAGATCTTCACTAGCAGCGGTCTTCGATATCAGTGGACATGGGCAAAAAGCTTGGCAGTTCGAGGCCTGCAAAACGGTGCCACGGTGGGTTGCGGTTGGCTAGCGTGAAAGACAGCTCTACAAAATTCTCATTTCACCTATGAAATTCAAGATTTTTTTGAAGAGATTACTTAACTGCTGTTTGACTTAGGAACTCCTTTGACTCTTTTTGCCTTTCACTCTGAACCTCGTGAGTTGCTTAAGTACACGCCACGCAGTAGTTCTCTTTGACACATAATTTGCAATGATTTTTAATCCTCGTGCTGTACCGAAGGCTAGCTTATGGTAAAAGAAAAAGGATTAAGCTCTTGGCGTTGACCAATCCCTGAGGAATGCGGCATGCATTCGGCTTCACCAAGCATCGTTAGGGGTAACTGAATGCATATCTGTGCTTTACGATGACTGGCGGTGGCCTACCGATGCATCGAGTCAGTGCTTCTACCCTCGCATACAAGGCTGACACCAATTTGCCGACCCCGGATTGATGGAAACCTTGGTGGGTCAAGGGCGCGGGATCGATCGCATATGTATTCTAGGGCGCCTCTAAGCACTGCGCCACAGGCGCTCCTTACTTAAGTATAGGACACAGTATTTTTTTGGCAAATAGTTTGCGGAAATTCTATTCCAATAATTCCACCACTTCAGGGACTTTAAAGCGCTGCGCTGCTTGTTTAAATAAATTTCCAATTTGTTGGAAAAATTAAGTAGGCTCCAATATTTTTACAACATTGTAAGTTTACTGTTAAACTGTTTACTGTTAGTTTACTGTTAAAAATGAGACATCAGCGTTAGCCACTCTACTTTTGTAGCGCTTTTTGTATCTTGATTATTACCACTTCACTAAAAACAAGCTATTTGGTCTCATTATACAAATATATAGGGCGGGTGTGGCGCGGTGGTCGGAGGCGCCCTGCAACACACACATGGCCATGATTCCAGCGCCCATGGCCCAACAAGCCATACATCCTTCCAATGTCGGCGAATTGGTACCAGACTCGTCTGGGAGGATAGCAACACGCTCGATACGTCGACAGGCCACTGTGAGTGATTGTAAAGACCGGATATGCATTCGACCGCCTCCAAACGATGCTTAATGAAGTCGAATGCATGGCTCATTCATCAAGGGGGTTGATCAACGCCGAGAGCTTTATCCTTTTTTATACGAATTTCTAAAAATAGATAAATATGCGAAGTATGCGTTGACCGTATTGAGCTTTCTCCTCAAGTTTTTGATAATTTAAATAATTATTATAATTGGTAATTTGATAATTGGGGGTGTCCATGTAATCCTGCGCTACGTTCGACGAATAACAAATGTGAAAACTTCTTTGCTCTATCATGTGAAACACTCTTAAGGCTTATTTTCCTTGTCATAGTTGAAAATAATTCTTAGTCCAAATATTTATAATTCTAGCGTACCTACTGACAATTTTCTTTGATTTCAAGTTAATTTAATCTCATAGGATGTCCTCCGAATGCCTGTTGAGCTTCGCTTCTGAAGGACTGTTCAGATCGACGATGTTCTTCGTTACTTAGACGGACACAACTGCTCGTTTCTCGCCACTGGACATGCTGTATGGCAGTCAGTGCAAAGGGCTCGTCCTGTCAGAATTGAAGGAGAAATCAGTTGCTCTATACCACATGTATGTTTTTTCTATTTACAGTACTCCTTTGTTTTTATTTCAAGCTAATAATCCTCGTTGTATTCTAACATTATTAAGAATTTTCTGCTCAACAAGTTAATATTTATAAGACGTCACTTCGTGCAATGAGTAATTTTTTGTACTCAGATTTCAAAAAAAGGTGGCACAAGAGGTTGTCTTAGTGCTCACTGTTGGTGAAACAAACTGAGATTCCTTATCACACTCAGGTTTCTTTCTTTCATGTCGAAGCGGCAATTGTAGATATGGCTTGCAAAGGATTTTTCAGGATAGTGCCTGAGCGCACCCTGTTTTAAACTTAACAAATGGGTCCGCTTATGTCATTGCCTCATATCGGTGTTAAATACGAGTCCGGCTAATGTCAATTTTGAACACCTTATTTTACGTTACCTTACTTCTTTGATGGTCTCTCTGTGAAGTGGTAGAATTCCTATCGTGTAACCTTCCTAGTTGTGCAGTTCTTGAATTTTAAGAATAAATCATGCACATTCTTAAAAACCCCTCATTTATCAAAAACTTTTGACCTAGTTAGACCCTCTGTGCTCACGTGGTGATGACCCTTTTGGCCAAGTGGACATGTACAGTCGTGCATCGTGCACGTTTCATCCTAGGTCGCTCGTAAAATTAGCTGACGTCCTTTCTGCCGTAAGTTTTGCTAAAGAGTATCCGAATTGTGTGATCGGCGGGGTCAATGACGTATATGAACTCGTTCTTGCTCCATAGGTTGGGTCAATACGATATATGAAGCACAAAGTGTCAAACGTGCCAGAAGTGCCGCATTCTTCAAATTCTCAACTTAATTCGTGTTATCCATGTCAACTCTTCTTCATTGTGTATTGAACTGCAAAAGCTGGAATCCAAAAAACAATGCCTTCATTCTATTTTTTAAAAAAGCGTAGTTGATAATCAGTTGCTATCGGTGAGATCGCAATAGACGTTACATATGTACCACAACATTTTTTCAACAGATCATCATAGAAGAAAAAGTGCGAATAACACTGATGTGGGCCCTGTCTATCTTTTTGCTCTTTTGTAGTTAAGACGTTTCGTAAAGCATTTTTACATGGCTTTGTAAGCTCACAGATCTCCCTCATATGATGAATCTCGACTCGGTTAGTCGCTAGGCTACCTGGCGCTTCTCCAGGTGGCGGATAGAGGTTAATCGCGGACCAAAAGCGTCCTTTGCTTCCCTGAGACGCAGTGCAGTTGGATGCAGGGAATGGACTTCCTGTCTCTGTTGCGCTGATTTGGCACATACTTTCTGTATTTGCTAGGTGTGTTCATGCATGCGTGTGTAGGTGGGTCCTTGCTTATACGGATTGTATTCTACGAGTCAATTCGGTCAAAAGCCTGCAATCAAGAGACTGCGAAGTATATGGGAGGCAGTTAGGGATCGACTCTAACAAATAAGTTTCGTGTCCACTCTAGGAGAGCCTGGCAAACTACCCGTGAGTAAACCCAGCACCACGTTCAGAGCCCAGCAAGATATACATGGGTATCAACAATGCTAAACACACTTTTAACAACTCGAAAGGCCGATTTTCTATAAACCTCGGCGTAGATAGTTGATATATTTATTTAAGTGATCTTATAAACTGATCTTCTTAAGCTGATGCGTGGTTGGTACAGATCTTCGTTGTCGTTGTCGTTGTTTTTGATGTTGTTGGTCGATGACTGACGTTTTGGGCGACTTCGCCTTCCTCAGAGTCTGGACGTATTTAATATTAGAATATTTTTATTATTCGGAGAAAAAGAAAGGTTAAAAGTAAGATCCCCTTTAAGCTACCCTTCATATCAAATGAAGTAAGTCACGCCATTAAAAAGTGCTTAAGAAAAAGTGGTCTTGAAAATTATATAGCAATTACTGACCTCACACCAAGTACCCTACGTCGTCAAATAGTTCGCCACCGCCTCTATGATCGTTTGTGCAGCTCAGAAAAATGTATGATCTGTCCTAACGGGAGAGACGGGGATTGCATGAGTTTAGGTATAATATACTTGATCTCATGTAATGCGTGCGGAGAGGAATATATAGGGAAAACGGGTAGATCACTTTGTGTCCGCATAAAAGAACATCGAGATGGGAAAGCTAAAATCCGTTTAAACACCCCTCTAGGTACGCATTGGGCACAGAAGCACAACGGCGATGATTTTGAAGTGAATGTGCGGATCCTAGCGCAGGAATCAAAAACATCAACGCGCAAAACTCTTGAGGCGTTTTGGATAAATTTCAAAAATCCAAAGATGAACCGGAAGGACGAATGCCTCACTGTCAAGCGTGACCTGGCGCCCTATTTCAAAATGATATTTTGACCCCGGGGTGTGCCTTGCTCACGACTCCACGAAAACAACGCGTGGGCCATTCCCGCACGTAACATCACGGTGAGTGGCCTTTCTATTCAATATGGCGTCTATTTGAAAGTTTGATCTTCATTAACACTTCAACCTTTCTTTTCCATCGAATAATAAAAATATTCTAATATTAAATACGTCTAGACTCTGAGGAAAACGAAGTCGCCGAAACGTCAGTCATCGATCAATAACATCAAAAACAACGACAACGACAACGAAGATCTGTACCAACCTCGCCTCAGCTTAAGAAGATCAGTTTATAAGGTCACAGAAATAAATGCTAAACACAATTTAAAAAAACGGGCCTCATTCCCCTGACCCCGGAAGGGCTCCCAATTTCGCAGCGTTGGACAGGACGAGTACGGAGAGGCTGCTGAAATCTCAGGGCCAATGGAAGCTGTCTGGATTTCAAAGAACTATAGTGACGATCTGCATCTACAATGCATGTTCACTTGCATCCGAGTTCTCGATAGAAGACTTACTCATGCAAGCAAGACGGATAAGGTACGACGTCATCGCCCTGGTAGAGACGAGAAGACGCCAGCCCTTCAACACCGTCTGTGATATCGGAGAAGAACTGTTCCTCGAAACATGTGACAGCGGAGGAGTCGGTGGCGTCGGCGTTCTCCCCAACCCGAGTTTTTCCATGAACACCGATTCATTGGAACAACTTACAACTCGCATCCGACGTTTACGATTAAGAAGACGTGGACCAATTCCGGCTTTGATAATCTTCGTCATTTACGCGCCGACATCAAACTATGACGAAAAAGAAATCGAAGTGTTCTATATAAACTTGGAGAAGTTTTACAGAAAATACCACACATTCTTCATGGTCATCACTGAAGATTTCAACGCCAACATTAAGCCAAGAAGAACATCTGAAGAACGCCACATTGGGACCCACGGATTGGAATGGAACGAACAGGGTGAGCGGCCGTCCGAGTTTATCATGGCGACCAAGATAATCCATGGTAACCCGCAATTCCAGAAGCCCCACACTCGACGAAGAATACGATCGGCTCATTAAACATCTTCACGATAGCGCTATGAAAGTTCAGAGTTCGAAAGTCACCAAAAGACGTTTGTCTCCAGAAACACTCGAGCTGAAACGAGAGCGTGGAATCGCACGAGCCGCAGGCAACCGCGAACTAACGTCCGAACCTGCAAAACGATGCAGGCAGGCGATAAAAGAAAATCTTAGAGAGAGAAGAGCAGCAGTAATAGTCGAAGTTGCAGAGGCTGGGAAAAGCATTCGCAAAGCCTATCGAAGCTTCGCCAATTACAAGATGAAAATGACTGCACTCCGGCGCCAAGACGGAACAGCTGCAGTGTCCAGAAGGCAATAGAGGAGATCATTTACGAATACTACCCAGATCTCTTCGATAGCCACATCCACCTTCCGTCACATGAAATAAAGGAGAATGGATGTGTTGTACCACCGGTCCTCCATNGCAGCACCATGTTAGGACAGGATAAGACCAGAGCACCTGAAGAACCTTCCACTAGTCTTCGTAAACACAGTCGCACGGCTCTTCACACGCTACCTGCCTGAATGCAAGGTCCCTACTCAGTGGTAGACCAGCAAGACCGTGTTATTGTTCAAGAAAGGGGACCTACGCGATATCGGCAACTACAGCCCAATCTGATTGCTGTCTGTCGTCTACAATCTTTTCACTCGAGTCACCACATCCTAAACAGGATTGACAGAACACTAGACGAAGGACAGCCATGTGAGCAAACAGGGTTTCAAAAAGGATTTAGTATGATGGACCACGTCCACATGGTAACAAGACTCATCGAAGTACCGCGAGAGTACAAAAGACCGCTATATCTCACTTTCATCGATCTACAGAAGGCCTTTGATTCAGTTGAGATAGAAGCAGTCATTGAAGCCCTTGATAGTCAAAGAGTCCCTACTCAGTACGTAAAGATTGTTCGTGAGCTGAACAAAAATTTCACAACCAAGATATCACTATTCTACAACGATATTAACACTGACGTCAAAAGAGGAGTTAGACAAGGCGATACCATCTCGCCAAATTATTTACCGCCACCCTCCAGAACGTCATGAGAACATTGGAATGGGATAATATGTGAGTGAAAATCGATGGTCGGCAGTTACACCGTCTTCGCTTTGCTGATGATATCGTCCTTATAACACCAAACATTAGCTAATCGGAACGTATGCTTGACGACTTTGATAAAGCCGGTGGAAAGATTGGCCTTCGACTAAATCTCACAAAAACGATGTTCATGAAGAACGGATTGGTTTCGCATGCCCCTTTCACGCTCAGCGGAACGAATATCTCCGAATGCTTCAGGTATATCTATTTAGGTCGGGAAATCAGTATGATGAACCTAGCTCCAGAGCTGAGCTGAAAGAAACGAGTAGCTTTAAAAGCTTTCAGGGTCATCGAGGATATAGTGAAGAGAACAAAAAACTCCCGACTACGTGCCCACCTTTTGAACTCAACGGTACTTCCTGCCCTAGGCGTAAGCAGAGTGAAAGGTAATTCAGCGTTGTCGAACTCACAGACGAAAGGACGATGCTAGGAGTATCCCGTTCCGCACAAGTAACGGATGGGATTCGAAGCTCCGATCTGCGTCAACAACCAAAAATCAAAGATGTTACGTAAAATCACGGCTCTGAGGAAGGCGAAGTCGCCGAAACGTCAGCCATCGATCAATAGCATCAAAAACAACGACAACGAAGACTTGTACCAACCTCGCGTCAGCTTAAGGAGATCAGTTAATAACATCACATAAATAAATATATCAACTATCTATGCCGAGGTTTATAGAAAGTCGGTCTTTCGAGTTAATCAAAGATGCCGTTCTGTACGCCAAACAGTCGAGGATAAGGTATGCCGGACACGTAGTGCGTATGAATGACAACCAGTGGACAAGAGCCGTTTGTGACTGCATTTCTCGGGATGTCAAACGTACTGCAGGAAGAACGCCGATGGTCAGAGTTCTTCACAAAGATCCTTGGAGAAAGATATGATGCTCGACAAGACCATAGAGCGAGCAGAACCCACTGGGCTAATCTTGCACGCGACAGGGAAAATTAGAAGAATTACTAGCGCCCGCCCGAGTCACTCGACGAACAGCGGGACTACAGGTGATACAGGGGATACAGATGAGCATCGACTGCTGCTTGAGAATTTTCCTTTCATCTCGAATGTCGTGNGATCCTTGGAGAAAGATATGATGCTCGACAAGACCATAGAGCGAGCAGAACCCACTGGGCTAATCTTGCACGCGACAGGGAAAAATGGAAGATTTACTAGCGCCCGCTCGAGTCACTCGACGATCAACGAGACTACAGGTGATACAGGTGTTACAGATGAGCATCGACTGCTGCTTGAGAATTTTCCTTTCATCTCGAATGTCGTGAAACGGTGGTCGAGTTGATTTTCACTGTAGTCCTGAGAGAGGCTAGAGTGTTCCCACTTGGATTTCAGAGAGTTTAGAGAGTCTTTTTTCGCAAAAGTCCGATGTCAGTTTTCCGACCTCGAAAAAGTGAAGGCTCGGTGAGCTCGGAGCGGGATCGAAGCGGCACCGTGCTCTTGATGACCGACATCACTTCCACTGTGTTATCCAACTCCTTCCCGTGTATGTACATATATATCTATATGTGTATATATATATATATACGTACACATATATGTATGTGCGAAACAGGATACAAATACATATACATCCAACTTTTGTCCTTTTCCTGTCTCCTGTTCGCAGAAGCCTTTTTGTGTTCCAAAATTTTTAATAAATTTGTGCCAATCGCAAAAATAAGTTCTAAGAGAGATCAACAACCCCAATGTGAACCTATTTAGCTGAAAATCACGCAATTTTAGAGTTGTTTTGAGTTCTACTTGACATTTGCTAGACGTCTACTAACAAGAAAGGATCTAAAAAAAAACGATTTAGATCTAAAAGCAAATTGGGTCGCTGCTGTCTTCGCTTTTATCTGGATACTTGGACCCTTGCTCAGTTGGGTGATTCTCCCATAGAGATGCGAAAGGCATTTCACTTCACTGAACATCGTTTAGGTGACTGAACTCATGTGGTCTACACAACGGCTTGTGATGGCCTACAGATCTCTTGAGCAATGTTTTTCACCTCCTAACGTGGTTGAAGTGTCAATCCATTACCCAACTGTGTAGCCGGATGTGAGAAGATCACTGCGAGTGAGCAGGAAATTAGGATACGTCATTTCATCTGTGCTTCATACGAAGTTTTTGTAACCAGGAAATTATCCATCTCGGTTTGTTTTCAACTATTCGCTGCTTTGTTCTTACACGCCTCGGTGAGCTTTATAACAAATGTCTCTCCATCATAGCTTTTTCTGAAATGATAGTAATGATGCGAAACAAGTTTTGATAAGGTTTTTTCATCGATGTCCATGACGCCTTTTCTCGATCGAGCGAATTCTTTGCCGTGTTAACGTGCCGTTTCGACAATATGATGGTTTTTTTCCAAGTTATATACGAGAAAGCGCTTATAGAAACGTAATTACAACAGTCTTCTCAACGGTTCACCGCCTCACCGTGGCTGGGAGGTGTCACTGGGGGTCGGGATACGATGAACAGGAGGGATTCATCCCCAGCGTCTCCTAAGCTGAGAAGGAGTCCGGCGTTTCCATCAGGAAGCTTGGCTAAAAGTAAACTATTACCAGGATCCACCGCTGTTCTGGTATCAAAGTCGCATGGTGGCAAATCTTCCTCTCATCCACAAGGACTACGCCTGCCTGCGGTAGTGTCGGGATTCCAGGACACCACAATGGCTGTAACGGTGCTTTGTCTAACTTTTGCCTTGTACCTTTAACTAAATGTCCTAAAATTCTGAGTTGCAACAGAATGTCCTGGTGTTCAAAAATCGTTGTATTCTAAGCACCAATCAACTTCGATGGCGATTTCTACGTTGTTTTTCTGACGACGATCTTTAACAATGTAGTCACTATTTCTCGAAGTAAACATTTCACATTTAGCGCAATAAAGCCATTCGGATAACAGAGATCCGTGGAAATTACACAGAAAAGAAAGAACCGTAAAGCCTAATTAAGAAAACGGAACACTTCTGTTCTACATGCGATCGCGCTTTTTAGTTATGACTTGAAAACTCTTTGAAAAACCAGAGGTTTACCAAAGCATTAAAATTTCAATTTGTCCAGGCAAGATACATCCTTCAGGTATTAAATGGAAAAGTGTGTAAGTACGTGTCAAACATATGATCGGACACGAACATCTCAAGAAGCAGTTACCAGTTCTCATCACCACAATCACTTCGACAACCTGTTTGGATGAGAAGTTCCCAGTTAATAGAAAACCAGGAAGATCATGCCTCTTTAATGAGCTATTTAACAAATCTACAGTATGAATTATGTCATTATATTAAAGCGCTGCTGCCGTAGTAAATAGACGGTTCTCACAAGAGCGTATTATTTCCCAAACGATTAGTATTAAAGAATTCAAGAAAGAAACTGGAAGAGGTCAACATGGAAGTAAAAGCTAATGCCCTAATTACACAATTTCCGCTTTTGCTGGACGGAGCCAGTGCTGGCCGAGTTTGGCAACGACTATGAAATGATTGGTGTTTGCATGAACTTGCAGAAAACGATGTTGATGAGGAATCTATTCTTTTCTTATGCTTCTTTTGCATTCAACGGACGAATTATTTTTGGGTGCTCCAGTTATATTTACTTGAGTGGTGAATTACTTTTCTCTCGAGCTTAGCGGGGAAATACGAAGGGAGTGGTGAACTTGCACTGAGGGTGAAGACGATAAAGAATATCGGTGTTGGCATTCACTACCAGTTCTTCTACTTTTTCTATCTAAAAGACCAACTAGAATTTCTGAGCACTATATGAGCAAGATGAAAAATCACTCATCACTATTGAACGTGTGGATCATGGAGTATCCCGTTTCATTAATGTTAAAGAGGAAATCCGGAGTTGCTTGAGTAGGGCCTATGTCTACCATGAAACGTGAGGGAGCCTGTTGCATAATTCAAGAGGTTGGAATTGGAATGGACCGGAGATTTGCTTTTTCTTTGGTACAACAGGTGCAAAAGTGTGGTTTGAGGAATTTTTCACACGGGATGTGAAGCACACGGCGATAAGATCACCTGCAAAATACACGGTTTTACCAATTGGAAATGAAAGCAATAACAAACCAATGCTTTAGTAATCGACCCAAACTAAGCCCCAGATTTATAAAGGAAACTGAATGATCGCATGAAATTAATGAATATACGGTCTCGGTCAGAATTCTAAGTGGACAGTGATGGTGGAAAAATTTGATCACTTCAGACATTGCCGCTACAATATTTTCCATGGATACAGTTGTCTGATACAGTTTTCGTTTCTTTAAGGTTTATTCCATATGCATTCAAAAGTACGGTACGAAAGCGTGCAGTTTGTATCCAGAAGATAGAGACGATCACCAGTACAGAATAGAAATCGGCGACGCCAAATCCAATCGGTAAATCTCTGTTCTCCTTTATTTAAACCTTCAGTGCAAATTCCTTTCTAGCTTTTTCCTGATTGATCCAACACGAGATATTGTGCGGATTCGATCACTTTTTCCATTGGATTTATCTCTCGAATCTATCATCCAGAAAAGTCTTCAGTGTTATTTGCGGCTTCGATTTCCAAATGAAGATTTTGTCTCTTGCATTAACATCCTTGAATCGCCTATCGAGTAGATTTCCCATGGAATCCTGAGATAGCCCTACTATAGCCTTTGGAGGTTTTCACCACAAGCAGTCAATCTAGTTGAGAAAAAGGCAAAACGAAGGACTTATAGTGTACGAATGTGGAAATCGGTCGCTGGAGTGTTTTAGCAATAAGAGTGAAGAGTTGCTGGCTAGAGTACCAGTGAGCATTGAAAGCAATCAACAAAACTGTTAAGTTAACAGCACAAAGTAATAACATGAGAATCGACAATAACATTAATGTATTGGTGATACAAGAGCTAAAAAATTTAGTTAATATCATTACAACCTAAGCAAATGAATTTGTAAAGGAAGATTAAGCGGGAGGGAAATGATGATGCTATGGTAACGGCGAAGAAGCCATCAGAAGCCAAATAACGACACTAATGGAAGTGGGTTAACTGATGGCACAGCATTGAGAGACAGGCAAAGAGAAGGATCCGCATAGTGTGGTGGTGAACGCATTAGCGCCCGGAAAGGGTAATAGCGTGTTCGACCCCAACAGCACACACCTGCGGTGCGGAGTTTTGCAAATATCTCAGTACCATTTCAGAAAAGTTCGTTAAACTTCCCAACAACGGAATTATTGAAGGCTTCGTAAGGTAGCTAGGGTTTTACGTACAATTGCCTTGTGCGTATTGAACAGTATTTCTCTCACTCCCCTACCAACTTTCCTCCTTTCGTTTTTCTTCTTTGGCTGCTACAAAACTCAATTTTTAAAAATTTTTAGGACCGTATAAAACAAGTTTGCTCAAATGATTTACTGCTTTCTTGCAGCTCAATGGACCAAGTTTACGCAGAGCCATTAGTACTGTTGGAATGGAGTTCCGTACTGGGGTTGCCAGTGCTTCGATGGTCCTACACAGTGATGATGATGGCGATCTACGACAACACTGCCGGCCAAGTGGTGAGCTTTTTGATTCACTTATAATTCTAAGAATGGAGTCTATTTTCGAAAGTTTTGCTTCTTTTCTAAGGTTTTCATTCAAAAAACTTATGAAAAGCAATATTGAAATGGCAGCTAACATTTTGCTTTTAATTCGAGCAGACGAACCAAGCGAGCAGTGCATGTTTTTCAGGTTAAAAAAACTTTAAATGGAGCTCCTTTAGGCAAAATAAGTTGTCGTGTAGGTAGAAAAAGCACTGAATCATCTAATGCGTAATTAAGTCCAACGCATTGCGCATCCCCTAAGAATTTGCTCCGAACACAATATTATTCATTAATCATTTCTATTTCCCCATTATATCCTTAAATGTCATGTTTTCATCAGTAGATCACTCCCAAGATTTTTATTAGATTGAAACTTTTCTTGTTGACTGAATTTTTCCCTGAGATTTTCTTCTCTTCTATGTTTGCACTTCCTGGGCGTCCACAGATTGTCCCCTGTATCACGCGTTGTCTCGTTGATCGTCGAGTGACTCGAGCGGGCGCTAGTAAATCTTCCATTTTCCCCTGTCGCGTGCAAGAGTAGCCCAGTGGGTTCTGCTCGCACTAGGGACTCGTCGAGCATCATATCTTTCTTCAAGGCTCTTTGTGAAGAATTCTGACCATCGGGTCGGTGGTCTTTCTGCAGTACGTTTGACATTCCGAGGAATCCAGTCACTAACGGCTCTTGTCGATCGGCTGTCATTCATACGCATTACGTGTCTGGCCCACCTTACGTTCGACTGTTTGGCGTACCGAACACCGTCTTTGATTTTTGACCATTGACGCAGATCGGAGCTCTGGATCCCATTCCTTACTTGTGTGGAACGGGATACTCCTAGCATCGTCCTTTTGACTTCGCGTTCGACAACGCTGAGTTACCTTTCATCCTGCTTACGCAGCGACCAGGTTTCTGACGCATGCGTTAGGGCAGGAAGTACCGTTAAGTCGAAAGGGTGGGCACGGAGTCGGGTGTTCATTGTTCTCTTCACTACATCCTCGATGCTCCTGAAAGCTCTCCAAGCTGCTTGTTTTCTTCTGCCCAGCTCTGGAGCTAAGTCGTTCAATATATTCATTTCCCGACCTAGATAGACATTACTGGAGCATTCGAAGATATTCGTTCCACTGAGCATGAATGGGGACATACGAAGCCAATCCGCTGCTCATGAACGTCACTTTGTAAGACTTAGTCGAAGACCAATCTTTCCACAGAGTTTGTCAAAGTCGGTAAGCATACGTTCCGCCAGGCTAATGTTTGGTGTTATAAGGACGATGTCACCAGCAAAGCGAAAATGGGGTAACTGCCGACCGTCAATTTTCACTTCCATATTATTCCATTCCAATGTTCGCATGACGTTCTGGAGGGTGGCGCTAAATAATTTTGGCAAGATGGTATCGCCTTGCCTAACTCATCTTTTGACGTTAATGTTAATATCGTTGTAGAATGGTGATATCTTGGTTGTGAAATTTTTGTACAGCTCACGAAGAATAGGGACTCCTTAACTATCAATGGCTTCCAAGACTGCTTCTATCTCAACTGAATCAAAGGCCTTCTGTAAATCGATGAAAGTGAGACAGAGCGGTCTTTTGTACTCTCGCGATACTTCAATGAGCCGTGTTACCGTGTGGATGTGGTCCATCGTACCAAATCCTTTTCGAAACCCTGCTTGCTCACATTGCTGTCCTTCGTCTAGTGTTCTGTCAATTCTGTTTGGGATGACTCGAGTGAAAAGTTTGCAGACAATAGACAGCAAGCAAATTGGGCAATAGTTGCCGATATCGTGTAGGTCACCCTTCTTGAACAATAACACGGTCCTGCTGGTCTTCCACTGAGTATTTGTTACTTGATTACAGGCTTTTGGCCGAATTGACTCGTAGAATACAATCCGCATAAGCAAGAACGCACCCACACACGCATGCATGAATACGTCTAGCAAATACAGAAAGTATGTGCCAAATCAGCTCAGCAGAAACAGGGAGTCCATCCCCTGGATCCATCTGCGTCTCAGGGAAGCAAAGGTCGCTTTTGCTCCGCGGTTAACCCCTATCCGCCACCTGGAGACGCGCCACGTAGCCTCGTGACTAACCGGCTTGAGATCCCTCATATGAGGGAGGTCCGTGGCGGTTTGGGGTTGCTACCTTGCAAATGTAACCTAGCACGGTCATAATTTCTGACTTGGTGGTAGGTAAACTGTAGGGTAGAAATATTGAGCTTTTTCACAATATGAACAATTCCGTTCTCAAATTCTTCCACCCTACAGCTAAGTGAGGAACCGTAGAAGAGTAGACGCACTTTTTACTTAAGTTCACCGTAGCTTTCTTATACCTTCCCGTTAGTTTTGCGTTGTGTTACTTTTAATTGCAATTAATATATCATTTAATTGAAGGCTCTCAAGAAAGAGTGTTAATCAGCCTTTCTGCTAAAGTTTTGCACTGCACCTTCACCACTACAGTAAAACGGAAAAATATACATTTCCTCTGCCTTCATGGTCTTCGTGAGATCATTTGATAATCGCATCTACTAAAAGTCATTTGATTTTGCATTTTTATAGCTCATTATGACATGGTCACATGCGTTCATAAATCTTAAGTTGGCACGATTGCCACTTAAACTCCGACGTGAATTGACTTCCACTCATACGACGGGAAAGTGATAACCGTTTAGAATTCTATTAGGTGGTATTATACCATTAGCACTTCAGTAATTTTCCTAATATTTGCATCCGTTTTGTTATTCTGCTAAAAATAAAGTCGCGATCCTGTGATGCTCCGAAAAGCATTTTTGTCTCTTTTTTCGTAGAGGCTCCTATTTCGAACGGTGAAGAGATCGGCCCGGGGAAATTTTGTGTAGCGGCATGCGATGATGTTTGAGATGCGTCGTTGATGTTTGTGACTGCCGAGCTTACGTTAGCAATTTTTAAATCCTAAATTACTTTTCAGTTTTGGCGATTTCATTCCGAAACACCCTCAAAACGAAATGGTAGCTAAAAAATTCGTTTTCACTCAAAACACCTTAGTAAGGCCTTACTTAGAAGTCTATCAAGTTCTCAACTCCGTGGAACGATCAACAGCATTTCTCGAAAACACTCTTCGAACTCTCAATATTAAGCACGAATGTGTTGTAGCAAACTCGGTCTTAATTCTTAATATACGAGAAGCAACAACATCTACTATACCATTTTTAATATCCTGTCTCCTCTCCCTGTCCCCATATTCGTGGCCTTTATTAAGTCCTACTGTATTTTTTTGCATTACATTTGCATTTACAACCTATGTACGACTACGATTTCACAATATGCATACATACGATATGCACACATATCCTACACCATATAACAATAATTTATTTTCTTCTTTTTTTATTTTAACCTCCCAACGGTTCATCGCCTCTGTGGCTGGGTGTTCCTGGGTGTCGAGCTGCGATGTACAGAGGAAGATTCATTCCCCGGCAGGGTCTCCCTAGCTGAGAAGGAGTCCGGCGTTTCCATCAGAAAGCCTAGCTAAGAGTAAACCAATATCAGGATCCACCACTGTCCTGGTATCAAAGTCGCATTGTGGCAAATCTCCCTCTGATCCACAAGGGCTGCGAGTGCCTGTGGTGGTGACGACCTGGAGCAGACTTCGTCCTGGCTGACCTCGGGACTTCAAAGAACCACAATGGCTAAACCAACAAAAAACCGAAAAATGGTGATTATGCTGGGGTTTGCACGACTAGTGAGGACGGACCGTTCAAATATCAAGTATCAAGTAATATTCTGTTTAATGTTTCGAGGCTCTTCCCGCACCAGTGGCTCAGCAAGCCTTCCATCCCTCTGTTGTCGGCAAATTAGTACCATGCCTGTCTAGAAGGATAACAGCAGTGGCTCGATA